TTAATATCAATGACTTATAATATATACTAGAAGTTGGAACGGTATGAGTCCAATTTTTAACTTTGTAATTATTTAGTTTTTGTTATGTAATAATATGGTTGCGTGACAAGTGATCTCTCCTAATCTATTTTTAACATGTTTGTCCTATTTTATTTTTATATGTAGTAAGAGGAAAAAAGCATCTTACTTATCCATCAATTATCAATCAAGTATGCTTTTCATGTTTTGTTATTTTAGGAAACTAACCCTTTATCTATCTTTTTATGTTAAGCTATGCAATAGAAAATTCCAATTATTCCATGCGGTCTCCTTGACACTAAAAGTTTTTTTTTTTAAGTACATTTGTCAATAAAAGTTAAGGACTAGTTCTTTTAATAAAAAAAATTTAATTCAGCCTTTATAATTACTAAGAGTAATGAAGTATAAATCAAGAAATTTAGATTGAACAGTCTTTTTCAAAGGCCAACTATGAAATGTATCGCCAACTCCAAATTTTATGTTTTCTAATAATTTGCTTACGTCACTTTTGCATGAAATTACAAATTACTTCTCATTTTCTCTGCTCTTTCCTCTCCCTCTCAACTCTCTATTTCTCTAACTCATGACATTTTGATAGGTGCCTTAACCAGCTATGATTGGTTTCGCGTTAAAATAATAATTGTTGAATAACCTTTACAATAAAAACAATTATATGAAATTTTTACATGGACCTGCAAAGAATATAAATGATAGTTAGGTTGAATATCTATTTAAATGCGAGATTTGATCAAATAAGATCTATATTAATTTTTTTCTAATCAAACAAAAATTAAAATTAGACTAAGATGATCAACAATTTATTAATGTTATTATTCTTTTAACTAAGCATACTTTCGTTAAAATAAGAGGAATAAAAAATAAGAAACTTGTTTAAAGACAAGTAAACTGATTCAGAAGCCAAATTATAAGTACCCACATTATATTTTTTCCGAAGGATTTTACCAAGTTTTTAATATCCTCCATCCATATTTGCTTGAAATGACCCAACAACAACGTATCGATTTTCAATTTGACACAAATGATCCACTATTTATACGATTACTCATTCGATTATCAATTCTTTTTTTTTTTATTAATCAATTCAAGATAAGAATAAGTAATGTTGTAAAAGAAGAGAAGTTGATATAAAAACAAAAAAAGAAGTAAATCATTCTAATTGAGATGGAAAGGTTTGAATCCTTTGATAAGAGAGGAGGAAAAGGAGATAAAAGTTGCTTACAGAATTAAAAAGAAGCTTAAAGTTGATTTGTTTGGTTTACAAAACGAGAAATTGCAAGAAAAAGGAGACTTGAACGGCTTGTTCTCTCTTCTTTCCGTGATAGACTGAAACTGCCCACCAAAAGGCAAATACCAATCTCTGCGAAGATCAAGATGAAGATCATGGTCGCCATTAAGCGAGTCGTCGATTACGCTGTCAAAATCCGAGTTAAACCAGACAGAGTATGAATCAAACTCATCATCTCTTCATTTCATTTCTTTTGAATTTTCTTTTGTTCGATTCGATTCATTGAGTTAGAATGCAACTCACCCCTTTTGGAACTGCAAGATTAGACGGGCGTCGAGACCCAGAATGTGAAAATGTCGATGAACCCCTTTTGCGAGATTGCGCTTGAGGAAGCCCTACGTATCAAGGAATCTGGCTTGGCCTCTGAGGTTGTGGCGGTGAGCATGGGTCCGACTCAGTGCGTGGACACGCTCAGGACGGGCCTCGCGATGGGTGCTGACAGGGGCATTCATGTGGAAGCCGTCGGACCCCTTTACCCTCTATCTGTTGCTAAGATTTTGAAGGCTCTTGTCGAGGTTGAGAAGCCTGGCCTTCTTTTACTAGGCAAACAGGTTTGCTTTTAGCCTTAGAGAGTATCATTTTTGTCCCTCTTATCGTTCAATTTGTGGACTGGGTCTTAGCGATGGCTGATTCAATTGGATTTTTAGTATAAGGGATTATCTGATCTAATGTTGATTGTGGTTTCTGATAATTTTGGGGATCTCGAATGATGTTCTCAACAGAAATTGTACCCTTACAAATTACATTTTG